CAACAGGTCGAAAACTCACGTGAGTAGATAAATGGGGACTCTCACTCCGGTGGGAGGAAAAGTGCTGGTGGCACCTTGCAAAAAGGAGTCGGGAGCAGTTGCTGGTAAGCGCGAAAAACCGTGCATGCCCGAAAAGGGCGCGAAGCAACGGAAACCCCGCCTCCTGCGCTCACCAGCTGGGCTCTGCCCTAGGAAGGAGGCAAACCACTTCCGAAACAATTGCCTTGAAAACTGCAAGGACTTGTCCAAAGCAGTCACTGCAGAGTCGGTAACGACTGAGCGCAGATTAAAAAAAAAAAAAAGCAAGCAAGCAAACTGCTGTCCCAGACTTTTCCTTTTTGGTAAATGTTTAGAGTTTAGACACATGCAGTTGGTGAATCTGACCAAACTCTAAAAGGCTATTCTGCTAAAATATCTTAAAAGAGCAAGTGGAACCCCAGACAAAATGCTGCAGTGTGGAGTGTTCCTATTCAATGTTCCACCCAACTAACAACTCTCTTTTCTAAGACATTCCTTTCCGTTCTCCTTTTCCTTGGGTTTCTCACTTTTGTCTCCCCCCAATAAAAAATTAATCCTCACTGGGCTATTTTGGGACTTCCTCTTTCAAATAACAATACAGGCAGATCACATTTGGAAGCTCGTGTCACTTAGGCGTAGATGGAGGTAAAGATGGAGCCTTTACTATAAGGCTTTATATAGTTAGGCAGGAACAGGTGTAGCAAGGTTTGCAAAGGTGGGAAGCAAAGGGCAACAGAGTGAGGAAAGCAAGCCCTGCCCCTTTTCTATGGGTGTTGTGATGTCACAGGCATGTGGAAAACAGGGGGAGCATCACAACACTGCTCTGGTCACCAGTGAACGGGTGCCCTCCATGTCATGGTTTTCCAGGCTGATCATCCTCAGATGTACTGAACTGGAGCTCCCCAACATCCCCAGCCAGTGTTGTCATTGGTCACCCTAGCTGTAGATGTTGGGAGTTACAACCCAACTTAACTGAAGGCCATAAGCTTGATTCAGGGCAAGGAAACATCCAATAAAGCAAACACTTTCTTTAATTAATCCCTAGTGGCGGTGAAATAGTTTAACATAACATTTAATAGCAGCTCAAGAGATGTGAAGGAAATATTCGGAAGTATTAGCAAAACATGGTTGCCTGGCTTCCCATGTATAAAGCTGGCATTTCTGAACCGAAGCAATCAGTTTCTCTGAAACCCATCGTTCTCACATAATTTTTGGTAAGCTCCTGGTATGTTCCCAGAAGAGAAAGAACACGAAAGACAAAAGAGACAACAAAGTATACTTTGAAGCACCATTTTTACTGTAGAAGAATGGCAGAGTGGGATCATCTGCTACAATTTCAAAACCAAAGAGAAAAAAATCCACTTCATTAAAAATAAAGACAATCTGATTTTGCTCCCTTCCTCCTTGGTGAAAACATAATACTCGAGTTGCCTTGCACCACACAAGGCTGTCCAAAAACATACAAACATTAAAACTGGGAAATGTGACTGCATATGTAATGTTGAAACAGAGAACCTTGGGAAGATCCTGCATGGTAAACTGAAAAAGAGACACACCATTCTAGTGAGGCCGCTAGATGCTGATTCAAACTAGTAATACCAAATATGAGTTAGAACACTCTGCACCTCCTCCTTCCACCAAGTACCAAATGGTTGCACCTAGAAGCGAAGTTGTTGAGAATCCAAGCAACCAGTGGTCAGAGAAAACATGATATAATGTTGTGCCAAAGTTTATGCAGTATATGGTACAAATGGTAGTTGGCCATGAGTTCAAAGCAGAAGAGGAGATCCATGGCAAAAGCCAGCTTCCGTGAAAGACCACCAGGTTTGTGCTTGGCAATGTAGAAGAGTTCAGAGGAACCACATGCAATGCCTTGTGGTGGCATTAACTTGTAGAGTCTGGCTGGCATCTAGCTGCTGGACAGGTAACTTACATTAGGAAGGACAGCATCTACAATGCAAAGGAGTAAAGAGAGAGGGTGGTGTGTGCTACAAAAACCAATACCACCTTTGTGGTTTCTGTGTCCTTCAGGCGCAAAAAGGCTACAATTCAAAGTGCTTTGCATGTGGAGTTTGGCAGAGAAAGAAAGCCAGGATACCATGGTTCTTAAGTGCCTTGTGTTTAACAACTGCTTGTCTAGCTATGTTGTCAAAGAGACCCCTTTTCCAGGCACTGATGTAGCAGCAATACCCTGTCCACAGTGAGAGGAACAAAAACAAGGGAGGGGGCAACGCAAGACAGTCAACTCTGAGACCCTACGGAGGGCACATCCATGTGGTTCTGACAGAGAGCACAGATTTTAGCTTTTTTTTTTAAATCTGCAGGATACAATTATTCTGTCAAATTTTTCAACTTACCCTGCATGACAGAGATTAATGCAGGTTTTGCAGTCTATATGTCTTTGGGTTATTCTCCATTTTACTAAACTGTGCACTGTCATACCATCTAGACATACCACCAGGAGGACCACCTGAGCAGACCTTTGTTCTAGAACCTACCATCAGAGATGTGGAAATGTATTCCAAAGCAAAGCCAAAAGAAGCCCAGTTTGTAGGTCAATCCCATGTCTCATTAACTCTGCAGTTAAATGGAAAGGCCCAGCTCCTGCCTTTTGCTGAAAATCATGGGTCTTCCCAATAAAGAAGAAAATTCTTGAAATTACAACCTCCCAAAACACGTGCCATAAAAAGCTAATTAAGGGAGAAGGATTAGGCAATCACGTTTATCTATAGTTCAGCCTCTGGTACCCTTCAGATGCACTGGACTGCAACTCTCATTATCTTCACATGGCCATGCTGGCTGGAGATAGTAACAGCTGTAGTCCAAAACATCAGCAGGCTGCCAGAGTAACCTTCTATCTTGTAGCTGCTTCTCTCCTGTTCCACATCTTCCTATACCCCCCTCTTTTCTCAGAAGCAGCATTTCTTCACATTTATCATATCCAGAAGCTACATGCAGTACTGCCAACCAGTCAACAGAGCATACACCAGAAGGATGTCAATGTATCTGTTGGGGGCAACAAAATGTATAATCCCTTATTAAAGGAACATACCAACTTTGAAACTGCTGAGGTTAATTTTCTGGTTGTGGATTTATAAGTCACATTATATAGATATGGGCCAAACTGGCGCAGCAGGATGGCTCTACCCCAAAACATAAGTTGCCCGGCCTAGAGTCTCATCTCCATGTGCAATTGCCTCTCCCCAAGGCACTGAGTTTGATTCAAAAGTGAGTCCAATTCTCACCTCTAAATTGGCAAACAAGAATATTTCAGTTAAGAAATATAATATGCAAATACTCAGTTAATCCAATGACTCAAAAAGCTTTTCCAAGGGACTCCTTTTTTTGGTTCAGATTATCAAAAAGGAAATCCTATGGTCTGTATGGACTACTGCTTAGGATCCAAAAACTGAATCTCTGCACAATTCAAAATTTTGAACAGCCAGATCAGATGACCCATTAGTAGTCAAAGATATCCTTCTTGATTAGATGTTTACAAACAGATGAAGTAGCTTTATAACCAACTCTGCTGCTGATCTATCTACCTCAGTACTGCCTGTGGCAGGAGTGGGTCTCTGCAGTTTCAAGCAAAACATTTCTTTCTTTTTTTCCATCCTAACATCTTTTTAGAATTAGAATGCTGGAGACTGAACCGTGGACCACATGAGTGTATGCGAAGGAATGGCCGCAGCACCTGCAGTTAAAAGGATACAAGGCAGAAAAAGACCTCTGTCTGAAGAGTAGAAAATAAGGGGGGATAAATGAAACAATAACCAGGCAGAAAAGCTGAGTGCTTTAGGGTGATCCTTCCAAATATCTCTGGAAAGTGATTAGCAGAGGCCATATGCATATATGGAATGTCATTTCCCTTATTCCATGAAGGTGGTCTTTAGATATTTGGCATTTGGCACTGTGCATCAGTATTTAACACAGAACAGTTTCTCTCTTATAAAATTCTTTTAGCAAATGGAAATAATGTTAAAGCATTTGAAGAATAGACAAGCTACAAGCTCTGCCTTCAACTAAGTTGCTGCTGAAGCTGCCAGCAACTAAGGTGTCCCAGCTTGCTCCCCCATTTCAGCTGAAGGGCCCTAAGGCCTGAGCAATTCTTCCCATTCAAGACAGTGCACCCCCCACTTTGCTAACTGATTTCTGCTAATTGTACAGACTATTTAAGCATCAACTGGGAAATGGATATATAAATGGATGTGAAAGCTGTAAAGGCACAGAAACTGTCTAGATTTTACCTTTAAAATGTTCTTTATAGAATTAGAAGCTGTGATGCCAGCATCTTCCAGGATGCCTAACCACAATGAGTTCAAAAGATACTTTTTCAAAGACAACCTTGTCCTGTGGTTCTCTGAACCCAGTTTTTTGCCTTGTGCTATTATCTTTCCAGATCGATACTGAGGAATAAAAATGGAGAGCACTGTTATTGAAATTGCCTTCCCCCCATCAGTCAAGGCTTGTATTCGTTCAGCCAGAAAGGGACAAGCCTAGGAACCAGTACAGGTGAATGATTCCAGAATCCCATTCCCTATCAAGCCAAATGCTGGAAACAAAGGAAGCACCTTCATAAAGAACACTGCCTCCAATGAAGTAGGATAGCCTCTGCTCACCAGATCGCTGGATTGACAAAAGCAAGCTCAACGACCTTCTGGGACTGCTAATTACTAACAACCTGATGCTAACATCCAAACAACAAAGCCAACAGTGACTACAGCCTGGATGCTCAACCTTCAATCGATGACTAGCAGCATTTTGTTGTATAGATGCAATCTCTTCCACATAGGGCTATTAAGGAATCACCATCTGGCAAAACAGATCTTTCCTACAGAACCCAGAACAACTCCTGATCTCCTGGGACTTCAAAAGCCACAAAACAGAGAGACTGTAGGCAGAGCAATTCACCCAATTTGGATCCTCCAGCTGGCAACATAAAAGGGAAGAGAACCAGCAGTTTCATTTGCTCTATGAAAGAGGTAACACCAGATGAGAGGCTTATGCTATTTCCCAAACATTCAAGATGATTTCTAAAGTATTACCTGCATTGCTGTATCAGCTTTTTTCTTAAGAGTAGAGCATTCCTCTAAACCGCTTACTGATTAAGCCACATATCAGAAACATACTTTCACCTCAGAGGCCCAAATTCTTATTTTCTAATGCTCTGTATTCCTTATTTCCTCCAATGTTTTGGAAGACTATCCTACTCCATCACCCCTTTGCAAAGGCACTGAGACTAAGACAAATCTTTCCTACCACCTCTGTTGCAAATGCAACCATAGTACTTGGGAACCTCATTGACTGTGCTCTAAGAAATAATAAAGCCATGACATTTTGGAGTATGTTGCTGGGCAGCTTAGCAGCAAGCAAGTATTGACAATACTTGAGTTTAAAGTAGCCTGACTTCTTTTAAAGGGTAGTTCAGAAATATCTGCAGGAGAGAAATTGGCACGTGCTGATCATCTCAGACACCAAAACCAACCACAGAAACCATAGGCATATAGTTTTGTGACATAAGTAAGAATTCTACAGAAACCTCTGCAAATAATGACAAAACCCTTTTAAAAGTACTGGAAAGAAAGTCAAAACTATTGTCAGCTATGATAATAGTACAGAAGTGGATACAGTATGCATACAATCTAATTCCAAGCTTTTTTCGAGAGCTATACTAGCTTAGAAAAAAAGACAGTCTGCTCCTTTCCATCCTGATGCTATGCCAATATACCTTTATTTTTTCAGGTCTTATGTATGTGCAAAAATGTACTCATATGGTATCACAAAGGAAATTGTAAAGGATAGCATGGAAGGATCTACACAAATTGGTCACAGGGGAAAAGCTGTAACTATTTTCTATGTAGCTTTGAAAAAGAATCCCATTTTTTTTCCTCCCTTGGATAATAAATATCCAAAAGAGAAAGGTTCACAGAAAGCTAGGGCTATTGTAATTCAGAAAGAATGAATTCTAAAAAAAATCTGAAAATAACATGACTGGAATGGGTCGGGGTCGTGGAGACCTAAGCAGAAGTAACTGAGGTTTTTCCTTGCCTTCTTCCTCAGCATAAACGGGGAGAGGAAACTCAAAGTTCAGGATCCTAGGAAGGATGCTGGGTAGCTAATCAGGGAATTCTCTGCGATGTAAGCAAAGATTGTCCCAACACTGGCTCAGCTGAGGGCAGATTTTTAAAGTAGTATTGCATGTAGGACTGTCATCAAAACAGTTACTGAGAGCTCAAAGGAGAAGGTTCCCCCACCTTTTAAAAAGCTTTGAAACTGGACAAATTAACCAGATATCCTCAATGAAGCATAATGTATCTATCATCATTGAAGGGAACCTCCAGAAACCTGGTGATGGGTTGATCTGATTGAGGTTTGTTCCCCAGAACAAGCTACTTATGGGAAGTCTGCCAAGTAAAGATCTTCCTTTCATGAATTCCCATGTAATAGTTATTACATGGAGGCAGCATGGTAGTGTAATCAAAAGCAGTACATAAGAAATATTGTCTTTGGGGATTAGAAATTTGCTTGTTAAATCACTAGAGTGCTAGTTTTCTACATATTTATGTAGAGGCTAATGGCAGAATTTCTGAATACATCCCTACAAAAAAAATCTCCATGCACACAGAAAACTAGCACCTTAGGGAGAAATTTTCAGCACAGTCTATGGGGGTTCTTCCAATAATGGAATGCTTAAAAATATTACTTATCACCATCACAACCTGCTGTTTGCAATGGCATGAGCCTGATTTCTACTCCCAAAATCTGTTACCTAATTTTGCATAACTTGTAACATGGTTATTGGTTTTGGCTACCCTAAATAGTAAAGCCAATTGCCTTTAAGTAGTGAAAGTGTTTACAACTTACTTAAAAATCAGTGAACACAGCAAACTTAAATTGCACTGAGAAACAGCAAAGGAATTACCACTATATAGCCTAACAGCATGGTGACATGAAAAACCTAAGTCAGTTTCATTGCTGTGGCTTTGAGTATGCTGAGTACTGCAACTTTAAAGGAAAGCAGGACCTCCCACACTGTTCTCAATACTTTGACTTAACTCTTACTGCCAGTGTTCCCAGGGGGAAAAATCATGATGGTAAAACAAGAATAGATGTGGCACAAAGCAAATGTAAAATTATACTTTTGAAATACTGAAAGCACTGGCAGTATATGTTTCTGAACCTTCAATGGTTTTAGGCCAGAAATCTCTACTATAATTTAGCTCCACATTTGCAACACTGGACAAAAATCACACCCAATCATCTCTACATCTAGCCCTAAAACCTCTTGCTTGTGCAAAAGGAGATATAATGCAGCCTGTTCAGACGCACCTGATACATTCAAAAGCCCAATGTCTACAGGGCCAGATATACTGAAATGTCTGACTGCAGAAATGCTTGTAACAATTGCACTAGAAAATATTATTTGCCAGTTATCAAGTTCTTAGGCTCATAAGCAGCCATGGATTCATTTAAACAAAAATAAGAGAGGGAAGCAATGTTAACAATCTTACTGGGTTCTGTAACAATTCCCCTTAGGAGGCCAATACACGGAAGAACACAGGACACTGACTGGCAGACATTGCCCCCCAGATGAACGCTGTAAAGAGGCACCAAGTCTTCAAAAAGTATATTCAGAAGAGGTATTCCCTGCCTCTGTGGCACAAATGTGGCAGTAACCATTTGGACAACATTCTTTGATTGCATGGGATGCACTGGGAACTAGACCTGTCCTCTCTTGACATCCTTTCTTCTCTAACATAGCATCAATGCCTCCATGCTTGGGACATCTTTCCCAACTATCTTTTCCTCTCGTTCTCTGCCACCATCTTCATAGTCTGTTGGAGATTTTAAAAATTCTGCTCCAGAAGAGAAGGAGAGTACTAGAGAAAGGATGTTTCTCCAGTTCTCCCTTCCTATGGACTTGGAATACTCCTCCAGATGTCATGCACTCTTTCACTCTGGTCAGCTAAGATGTGACAAAATGGCAAATAACAGGACCAGGTACTGGTAGATGACAGCAAGCCGCTAGGTTTTAGAGAAAAGAGAGGCAACGCTAGAGACAAGCAAAGGCCTTTGTATCTTTCAACAAGTAACTGGGGGAGAAAAGATGAGGGAAAAACTTCTGAACCCAGTTCTTGAAAAAGAAATAATAAGAATAAGGGATCACATTCTGACAGCCCTTGGGCAATGCATATATATGAGTCAATAGATATTTATATTTAATAAGTATATAAAATAGGATCAAAATAAAACCAAGTAGTTTTACAGATTGAAAAATAAAAGAAACCAAAAATATCACAGTACAGTAATAGCCCAAGTGCCGCCACATCCCAGATGTGCACTCTGCCATGTTTACAAAAGCACTGTAGAAAAGTGTCCTGGAGGAAAGCCAGTGTTGTTCTGTATTCCTCTCAATGGGGCCTTAAAGATCTCCTCAAATATTCCTAAACATGGTTTTATAATCCAATTGTTGCTCAGCTCTGCAGAATTTCCCCCAATTGCCAACCAGGACCTGAGGATCATCAGCTGCCTGAGGAGTACAGACATGTATGTCCTCACCAGGTCCGAGAGACTTGACGTTGATCTGATCATCCTCATATGGTGGCCCCGGAGCTCCAACTCAACTGAATGGCTCAAGGGATGCTGAGAGAATGAGGCAATGGCTGAATTCTGATCACAGGGGACAGATTAACTCTAAGGATCTTTTGTGCTCTCCTCCTCAATTCATCATCTGAAGAGCTGTCCACTTTGATGGCCTGGAATTTCAGCAGGTTTAATGTTTTCGAAGCCAGTTCTGGTTTATTAGGTGATGGAACAGAACTGGGTGTCTTTCTACATGGTAATTCTTTTCCTTCATCTGCTCTTTTTCTTTTCTGCCCAATTGCCTCCTGATGGCTGCCACCACTTTTCTGTTCAGTTTTGGCCACTGATGGTTCCTTAATTCTGGGGGCCCCTGTGCTACAGCTCTGGGAGTTGCTCCCAGAAATTCGGCCGTTCAGGATTCCGGATGCTTTACAAGCATTACTTTCCTGAAGCACCCCTCCCTTTGGTCCTTTTATAAGGCTCATTGTGAGAGCAGCAGAGTCTGGCACTTTTGTTATTAAATGCCTATATCCTTTGGGGTCCAACTGACTAGACGATATCTTAGTGGCCTTAACTGCTGAAGACTGTATAGATGCAGCAGATGCTTTGAGAAGCTTAAGGTCTGCAGGAGAGATCCCAAGGGGCCCTTGTTTGCATTTTGATTCCAGACAAGAGGCAGTGGATTTCAGTGGAACTAAGGCTTCCAGGACGACTGACAGCCTCATGGCTGGATAGACACCAGGGTACGTGTTAGCAGGGAAGCTCACTGCTGAGGCTCTTGATGTGCCTGAACGTGTCCGTTTCAATGAGTTCAGTAGGAGGTTCGTGGAGTTACTGCTCTTTGACATTGGCTTAGCAGAATCTTTAGAAGAGCGCACTGTAATACCTGCTAAGGGGGCAGACACTTTTTCCACGGTTACTATGTTCCTTGCTGGAGCCTTGGCAGACTCTGAAATAGGGACAGCAGTTTCTGAAATGTCTTGAGTATTGCCTTTTGTTTGGCCAGGTGCACTGGCTGTGCATGAACTGTATCCATACACGTCTTTACTCCTTAGGATTGTGGGCTGGTAGCCTTCTTCCTTAAGGCCTTGGAGAAAAGCTACCAACTGGGTCTCCGTGTCAGACAGGTCCTTGGACATGGGGTTAAATACCCGGAGAGCTTCTTCCAGGGCTTTCTGTCCTGCAGAGGAGATCCTTGACCAGGAGTGGACAGCTTTCTCTTCCACATTGTCCGCCTCAATATTCATGGCATTAGGCTGGCAGGAGCTTCTAGTAGATCCAGATCTAGTAGGTCACCTCAAAAGAAAAAGGAGAAAAGGCAATTAACTTACAACCCAACAGGCATTTATCTTGAAGATTTTGGAGGGGGAGGAGAGTTGTAAAGCTTTTAAAGTTTCCGGACACTTTTTAATTGGAACCAAACTTTACATATACTACTATTCCTTTTCCCCTCTCTACTGGCTTTTTATTCAATTAATTTCTGGCTTCAATTACAAGTTATGGTGTTAATTTGCACATCTTGATATAACAGTACCTAATGGCATGCCTCCTTCCACAGGATTTGTTTTTAAGTGTTAAATCCGTTTATGAATACCCTAGGAGGGTCCCTCCAACATATTCAGAGGGTTGCCATGAAGGGGAGGGTCTTTTCACTCCTCCTGCATGCTAGCTGTGGAATTTTCCCCATATCATTTTGCCTGTCAAAATATGCAGGCTTTTAGAAGAACATGTAATCTGCATACATTACTATATGAATATTGATGATATACAACTGTGTGTTTCATTTATTTACTGTAATTTCAAACGAAGATGCCCTTCTGTATGAAAGGTCCTTTAAAAAACATGGACAACTATGTGACACAGTTTGGACCTAGCACTCAGGAGTAATTTGATCCTATGCTGTTAAGATATAGTTAGAAGTTGGCTTCCTTCCAATAATAATTAAGAATAATTACAATCTGTTGGAGTTGCAGTAAATCTAACATGAAATGAAAACCCCTGAATGATTCTTTATGACCAGGATAAAGGGGAAAGCAGACAAATCCATGCTCCGTTGTAGCTTGTTCTTATAAGCTAACTATTTGGTTGCTTGAAAGTACCAATGAGCCAAATGTCTTACCACTGACATACATATATATTCTCAAAACATTATTTAATTAGAAACTATGAAAAACAATTATTTCTTTTGTTCTTTTGAGAGGCTTTTGCGATTAGTAGCTTTCTCTTAAAGCTCTATAAATGAATACTGTAAACATTAAGTCCATTTTTAAACCCTTTCATTTTAAACTGGTCAACTGTCTAATCCTAGAACCAGAGATATCATGGGGATGTAAACACAAACCTCTGAACCATCAGGTACATGGAACTTGCTCTGACTGGAATCCTAATTTTCTACTACTCTCTTAATAATTCAAGTGTGATCAGATAAAATCATCTACCAACTCTAATATAGGTAGTCCTCAGTTTAAGAACGATTTCCATTCCCAAAGTCTGTCCTTAAGTTGAATTCGTATGTAAGCTGGGACAGTATTATGGTATAATACTGTATAAGTAATATTATGTAATTAATTAAAACCATTGTGTACTTAACTTGAATCATTGTGTATTTAACTTGAATTTTGCTCCAATAGGCTCCATTCTTAAGTATGGGCCATCCTTAAACCAGGTGTTCTTAACCCAGGGACTACAGGTACTGTAAGCTCAGTCCCTCAACAAGGGTCTTCACTTTGTAGTTCTCCATACGGTACTGTAGTTTTCTGGAAATCTTTAAATAATGGCTCTTAGAATTAGTCAAAATACCTTCTGACAAGTTGATATTATTCCTCAGTGTTCACTCAGTTGTTCTACGTTTATACAACCTTTTGGGAATGTTGTTTTTTTGATGTCCTTGTATTATGAAGGACACTTGGTCCACAAAGATAAACACTCTGCATTTTCAACAATGTGGACAGACACAAAAATTACAACACGCACTCCAAGAAACATAAGTCATTTAAAGACCAGTTAGATAGACTGTAACGCCAAACTGAGCCCATTAGTGAAAATAATTCCCTTTCCAAGCCTAGAGGCATTGCCAAAACATGTTATTAGAGTAGAGGTTTACAATGGTTACAGGGGAACACTACAACAACCTGAATACCAGACATTTTTAGACTACAACATCCATATGCCAAGATTATAATTGCCATTCTGGGTAGGAATTCTGGAAACTGATGTCCAAACACATAGAGAGAGCACCAGATAAGGGAAGCTGATATATACCAATCAGTTTCAGATGTTCCCACCCTTCCCCCCATCTTGTATCTGAAACTTCAGCGACTAAACTCTCTACCTTCAGCATGCAAAGTATGTACTCTACCAGTGAGCTATGATCTGCCTAGGCTGCAGACATTAGCAAAACAAACTAATTCCTTCCTCAGCAACGTTCCAGTATTTCATGGAACTATTTTTAAAGTCGCCTGTGGACTGGAAGATAAGCTACTCTGACTTAATAGCGGAGTATGTATCTATACTTTTCTTTGCAATATGTTTTCAAGTGACAAAAACTACCCTCCAGGACAGGAACATATCTTCCTGACTCCATGACACTGGATGATGCATCACCACTGCTGCACCTACTAGCTCATGGCTCACTAAGTGACTGAACAGGGAGAACAAAGATGAATTTGCCAATGGAGCTTGGTGGGTGAGTCCATGACAATATATTCCTCAAAACTGAGAGTTAGTACTTGACTAACTTGAGACTCTGAGAACAGAATAAAAATAAAACTGTTCTATGGTGATGAGTTTAGAAATAAAAGGATGGGAGTCCACCCCTGTGACCTGCAGGGCTTGCGGCTTGTGTGCGTTCCTGCCCCAAAACAATCTGGCTTATACTTGCAGCAACTTAAGAGTGTGTAGCAGTGCTTGAAGAAAATTATAAGAGTTAGAGCAGTGAACAGCCCTACTTCAACTCACACAAGAGGATGAAGTTTCATGAGCCCAAACAAGAGGACCAACAAAGAAGCCATGAGGGGAAGCAACATTCTTTACAGAGGAGAATTAAAAAAAAAAAAAGCCCAGTGAATGAGAAGCAGAATACATACCATAAATTCTACATTGCTGGAACCAGCATACAACCCCTCATGGAAGAAACAGGCTGTAATGAATGGGCAAATCCCCATTCTCTCAGGTAAGGCACATCAGGCACTTCCCTCCCCTGTATTAACCCAGAGAGTCAAAACACACACCCTTGATGCCTGAATAAACAAGTAGGAATATCCATAATGGGTCCAAATGGCATACAGATAGTCACAAGCCTTCCCTAACTACATACTTGCAACAAATGGAAAGGAGGGAAGCATAGGATAGAATTGGATTCATGGTCAGTTTGAAGTCCAAGACCTAAGGGGGAGGAAAGAGAGTCACTTTCTTAGGTATGCCCAGCAGATTTTCCCCCACCCCACCCTTGAGCAATTAAAACTTTTGTGGCCAAGACAAAAGAAGGGGAATTGAGGGAAGCACCCAGGTGAAGTTCAAAGAGAAAGAATACATGGAAAAAGGAAAGTGGGGTTGCCGAAAAGATGTAAGCAAGATGGAGACTGGAAACAGCCACATGGTCTTGGTGTGTTAGTTTACAGGAGAAACTGAAAGCTAAATAACGATCAGGTGAGAGGGACTATGGTAGGAGCAGTCTTTTCTGGGACTAGAAAGCATTTAGGAGAAAATCTTCAGGGAGCAGAGAATAACTTGCACAGGCAGGGAGGAGGCAGAGACTATGTCCAGTATCCCCCCATAGCACTCTTTGGGGACTGATATTTGAGACATGATATTTTTTCAGTGCTAAATGTGTTATCCCATCCTATTATGTAAAGGAGAGCAGACATGGCTTTGAAGTAGGTATTCAACAGCCATTAGGGAAACACCAGTGTAGCCTTGAAAGAGAAGATGGATTGAGGAGGAAACTCAAGATCGCTCTACCTTGATTCACTTGAGATAAGAGGAAAGAGAGAGAACCTGTCAGGCTTTAGAAATTCTGTTTTTATACTCTGCAACACTAGAGTTATAGTAGTCCTTGGGCAGTCTGTTTTCTGACTTTGACACACTGTAATTGTTTGGCTATTTGCCTACCCAAGCTAAAAGAAAGCTTTTTTCCCCTTTTTGATTTTTAATAAAACTCATGCTTAAAGACTGATGCTTTTGCTTTCATCTCAAAAGGAGATGGGTTTGCTGTTCTTCAGTCACATGCCACAAAGCCATGAGGGCCAGAAGGTGATGCTACAGAGTTGTTTCTTACAAAACAAATATTATTATTACCATCATCATCATCATCATGCATATTTTAAGGGTAAGTTGCTCAAACTATGAGAATCTCATCTGTCACACAAGCTGGTGTTAATGGGAAGGAGCCTGGTCAATGTATTCCCTTCCTCCAAGAAGAACCTGCACCTGAAGAGAAGAGAGATGGGGCAAAAGGGCACAGCTGGGAGAATTGAGACCCTTCCAGCCACAGTGTTCCCTTCCCGCCCGAGTCAATACAGAGTTAGGCAATACCTAGATTGAAATATATAAAATAAATAAAAAAGAGATAAGATGGATCCCTGATGTAGGGATTTCTAAAAAGGAACTACTAAAGACACAATTGCAAACAACCCCAGGGAGAGGAAAAATAATTGTGAGCAGAAGCAGCAGCTAAGATGGCTGCACAGAAAGGCGGGGAAGTTCTCCAAACACAGAGGAAGAGGAAAGAGGTACAGATGAACTCAGGTTGTCAAAAGATGCTGAGAGCAATAAAAAGAGTTTTTAAAGATATAATCAAAATAACAGGAAGACAATGAACATACCAGCTGCTTAACAAAATTGTTAACCAAGTAACAAAAACAAAACAAAAAAAGTAGAGTTGCTTAACTACTATTTTGGATCCAACTTCTGTGCAAAGATGATATATATTCCACCACAAAACTGAGGTGCAGGGTGAAGGGGCAGCACTGAAGCTTGACACTGGTAGCATGATCAGAAACTGTTTATTTTGAATTAATTTAAATCTCCAGAACCAGATGAACTGCATCCTTCAGTACTGAAAAAAAGAGAAGATGTTCTGGCCAAACATATTATGGCTGAGATATCCTGGATAATGGGTGAAGTGCCAGATGACTGGAAGAGGCAAAATGTTGCCCTATCTTGAAATAGGGAACAGAAGAATCAAGGGAACTATAGCCCAGTCATTCTGACATTCATGCCAGGGAAGACTGCTGAATTTTAGTTTGAAGTGATTCATTTCTGTATTTTTAATCTTCATTATTAGAATCATATAAGCTGGACAGTTTATATCTTTGTAAAATGAATGAATGAATGAATGAATGAATGAATGAATGAATGAATCAATCAATCAATCAATCGAGCAAATCATAAAATGATCCATAAGAACTTTGAAAACAA